TTACAAGTTGGGTTAAAAATAAGAGGTATTTTGTAGTTAATCTGTTACACAATTTTGCCTAAGTTAATAAGTTTTAGGTAACAAAACTTTTACAGACAAATTTGATTGAACTCTTTAGGAAAAGAAATAGCTTCTAATATTAGGGTACTTGTTTAGCTAGTAGCCCCACTTCCTGGAAGTTGTCAATGTAATTAGTGTTAGAGTCTAGTTTGATGGTCTTTAATGTTTGTTGTATAAAAAGGAAGGTAGCCTTTCTTTGATCCGAAATTTAATGTACAAGTGGAAAGGCACATACTGCATCTTCTGCTAAAAGATGGTTATGTTTTAACAGGCACTTAATAGAACACTTGGTAGTCAGTTGCTGATTAAAGTAAAATTTAATTTCACCCAACAATCTGTTCCTTTTGTAGTTAGGATTACGTGATAATTAGATCATCCTTGTGAATTTTATACTTTGTGTGGTTGGTTTGAAAAATAATTAAATGGGTAAACTCAAAACTTTTTGTACTTTATTATGAAGTGTAATGAATACTGTGGAAACCAAATCATACTGCAAATTTGTAGGAGTTTCCTGAGTTAACATCTATTCATAGGCCTGATTTGTTGAAGTGGCGATTTGGAAAGGGAATTACCTTGTTTCCCTTTGTTCAGATACTTTTAAATAAAGTAATTTCATCAAAAGGCACTTATTATTAACCTCAGTCTGAAATGAAGACAGACTAATTGGTTCAGCTTTAGTACCTTCCTAGCAGCTTTTACTGTTGGAGTTACTGAGAGTTTTGAGTTGTGATAGGTCACGGTGGTAGATAACGCTACTCACCTTGCCACAGGTATGACTAGAAAGCATGATCTTCTGGGGATGGTTTGTAGATTCAAATTGAGGAGACCTACTTAGTGAAGCTGACAGAGAGAGCTACGTATCAGAGTATCTGGGAATACTGGTAATTCAGAAAAAAACCTTGTTTTAAGAAATTCCTGGCTCCTGCTAAAAATCTAAAACTAAAACCTAATTTTAGGAATATAGTGCCCTGAAAGGTGAATGCTTCTTCCATTGCCGTTTTTAATACTTTGCTTTAGGTGTTGATAAGAAGTGGGTTAATATTTTTCCATATGAACAAATTTCAGAATTTAAGGGAAGAAATGGTATGTGTGATTATAGTTCATTATTTTGCCTATTCAAAGAGCAGAAGAGGTGATTTTTTAAGAATTGGCTTTGACCAAAGTTCTTTTATTTTCAGGGAAAGAACATGAAAGCTTTTTGAACCACAGCCTTTTAAAAGGAATGGGGGGTACTGTAATGTGAAATTTGGCTTTCAGAAAAAAGGTGACATCGTTCAGCCGAACTCTTTTGTTGATAAAACATCACATGGCAGGGTGACACCACATAATGCAAGTTCAACTACTTGTTAGCTGCCCCTGTAAGTGGGTAATTGTATCAGTAAATGCCTACACCTGTAAGCGTTTTCTAGTAATAGAAAGGACCAGTTTATTAAAAATATAGCCCTATTCTATGCCCATAGACTTTTATTATTGGATGCAGTAGACCACTGTATAACATTGGCCCACTTGAACATAGTTGTGACTAGACTGTCCTTGCTGACTTGAGTCGGCAAGCCACACGTTCATCAGTGGCTAGATAAGATAATTAAGCTGATTTAGAGCAAAAGAGAAACGAGGAACATCTTTTGGTGTTTGTTGACAAGCTGTAGTGCCTTTATGGCCAGTTTGAGTCCTACCTACTCCTTTTGACTTTACCTTCCTACCCCTGTATTACCACCTTCATCTTGGTATCTTCTCTCTCCCACTTTGTTAACCTGTTTTACGCTTTTATCTCAATAAAATGCTTATGAGGGAAAGGCTCGTTTTGAGTTTATTTTGTATTCTCACTTGACACCAAATTCATAGCAAATGTGTTTTGAATTGAACTTGCTGTGTTGAATATGAGAAGGACCTTCTTTGTAGTTCGCCAATAATAGAATAGCTGGTTTATCTTGGGCAAGTCATTAGCTCTGCTTCATTTTTATTTGTGAAGCAGAATAAAACCTCTCATGGATTGTGGAGGGTTTTTGCCTTAGGGGTGTGTGCAGGCTCTTTGTGGAGGGTTTTTGCCTTAGGATGTGTGTGCTCTCAGAAAGAGAAGGGAAGTGAGAAATCACCCCCACCCTGGCCCAGGTAGATGGCTACATTACAATCCCTTCTCTTCCCAGGATCTTGGGCATGCCTGCACATACGCCTAGTGTGATTTGTAAGCCTCTGGGTGTAGGACTAACCCTAACCCTGACAGTAGTACCTGCTGTTATGGAACATTAAGTACACTAAATCAGGTTTGTTTATTTGGGGGAACACATGCCCATTGTGTAGTAGGCTCAGATCCAGTTGCCTTAGACCACCACATTGCTGGCTGGCTCCATGAATTGTTTATTTTATTTTAATTAGATGATGGGGGAGCAAGCCACCAGGTCTGGAAATCAAACCATGATCACCATGTGGGGGTCCAGTACCCTTGACCACTAGGCCAAGAGTTTTTAACTTGGTCTTGCAAAATTTCCCCATTTATAATCTTAGTCTCATTCATTTAATGTGGATTTAGGGTGCACTAAACTTTGGCTGTTTATACTTAAAAACCATAACTTTTCTGTTTACCTTGCTTTCAGAGAACAGTGTTTTCCATTCTTTCATCACTGCAGTTGAACCATTTTTACTCCTGCAATGATAGAGCCCAGAATGGGGAGACTTTTTCTTAAGGTCTGATTTGACTTATTAAAAGACATAAAAGGGACCAGCAGATGCCCAGATGGTTCTATCACTGGACTCCCAGGTAGTTGACTGTGACTTGAGTCTCAGACCTAGCAGCTTAAAACCCATGCTGGGCTCATGTGTGTGTATGCCCAAAATCCTGAGAATGGAGAAGGGATTGCAGCATGGCCATTGCCCCTGGGAGATGGGTTTCCTCACTTTCTGTCTCTGGCAAGCACATGCACCCTATAAACAGAAATCTCTGGGTCTGGGCAGTTGTCCATTTTCAACAGTAATTCATTCATACCATGATTAATCTGCAACCTGTGTTTGCTTAATACATGCTGATACAGAGATCTTTTAAGTGGCTAATACTGTTGGGTGGATGTATAAGTACATTTTTTTAGAATCAAGTTTCTATTAAGTAATCCTTTAACTAAGGTACAAATTACTCGTGGTATTATACAATAAAAATATTTCAGTGCTCTTACTAAACTTTTTTAAGTAACTAGTTTAATACTTGTTTACATGCTAATCTTTGAGGAGTTTTTAGTCAGTGACCACATCTTGAATAAGGTGTGTGTTTGTGTCTGTAATACTTATGCATGCATTTGTTAGGGGGAAAAGGTGGTACAATTGAGTAACTGGTCTTCTAGACCCTAGTTTGTTTAGGTATGCCTAGCTATTGTGCAGCACTTGGGGGTGATTGGCTTCTTACACTTGTCGAATAGAAAGAAATCCTGGTTCAAGAATCAGAAGATAAAGGACAATTCAATAAAATCAACCTTGACTCCTGGAGAGACTATATGCAGACCTAGAGAGATTCACTTACCTAGATAATTTAATCACAGTGTTCATTTGAATTTTACAAAGATTAAGCCATATTAAATACTAATGCTTCCAATAGGAGTGACACGTAAAAAGTTTGCTAAGCACCCCTCAGGACCGTGCCACAATCCAGTCCAGGATTTTGGGCTCACATGGAGCATATTTTTCAAGCTGCTGAGTCTGATGCTTGAACTACAGTGATCTATGGGAGCCTGCCACCTTAACCACCATGCACCACTTGCCCCATTTTTGGTTGACTTAACACTTGAAGATTCCCAGGAATAGTATGGAGAACTGTACAGTGTATGTTTCACTTCTGAGAACTACCTGAGTGTAAACTGGGATACAATATGCTCTTATTCCTAAAAACTCACATTTCGTAGGTACAGATATATAACTAGTATTGATATAAATCAGGAAATTACTGGTACTAATCCACAGTCTATATTTAAATTTCATCAGTTGTTTCTTACTGCCTTTTTCCCCCCTCTTGTTCAAGGATCATTACAGTCGTGGCCTTTTAGTCTAAATACGGAATGTCCCTTCTTTTTGTCTTGACCACAGGTCACTATGACATTACTTTTTCCTTTTCTGATTTGTAGAGGGGTAACTAGAGTCTTGAACACCCTGTTCCTTATTAGACTTTTACCTACTGCTCTGGACATGTGTACTGATACCCATGAATTGTATTTGTTGGCATTCTTCTATTGTAAAGGAAACTTTTTTTTTTTTAATTTATTTTATGTATTCATTCACTTAATTTGACCAGAGAAAGACACATACAGAGAGAGAAAGAAAGTGAGAAAGCAAGCCTCCAGGTCCAGGACTCATCATGGTCAGCCATATGGGAGTGTCCAGCACCTTATTTGTTTTAGAGGGAAAGTTGAAAGTGGTGTTTGGTCATTTGAAGTGTTTAGGGATTTGAGAAAACTCGTGAAGAGGAAGCTTCAATGGCATCAGATTAAACTCCATTAGTGGCTGAAAGCAAGAGTGACATCCCTAACCCAGAGCCAAAAGGGGATGAGGAGGCATCATGTATTTAACAAATACGCAAGAGAAAAACTGCAGCATCATCAATGAAGCAGTACTTAGCAAATTGTATTGGTAAGTGTACAGAATAAACAATGCTGTATAGTCAAGCATCCTGTACTGGCAGATACTTTCATTCTGAGAAGTTCATTTTGTAGGCACTTAGAAAAACCTATACTGTCGAGCCTATACACACCTAGGCTATACAGTATAGCCTCTTTCCTTATGGGTCCATTGTTGTGTGTGCAGTCCGTCATTGACCTAGTAAAAGATTTTAACATGGCACAGGTACCCACTATGCCTACTTTCTAGTTCATAAACTACCCAGGTATACTAAATACATCGTTACTTTATTTTTTTTAAACTGGAGAGCAGAAGGAGAGGGGAGAACATGCATGCCTCATGGGAAATGGGCACACCATAATCCTTTTTCCATCTCCCTGTCCTCAAGATTTGGGGCATGCTGGGAACCAGCAGTTAGCATAATGGCTATGTTGCTGGACTCCCACGTAGTCGACCACGGTTCGCGTCCCAGACCCAGTGGCTTAAAACTCGCCAGGCACGTGCGCGTGCGTGTGTCCCCAAGATCCCGAGAGGAGAATGGAGGAGAAGGGATTACGGCATGACCATCCCCCCCTGGGGGGTGATTTCTCGCTTTCTGTCTCTATGTCTGTCTCTGGCTAGCGCACTGCACCCTGTAGCAAAAACCTCTCCAAAAAAAAAACGATTTGGGGCATGCATGCACAAATACTTGTGATGTTTGTTTCAAGTCGGCAGGTCCAGGATTGGAACTGCACAGTTGGTGGTGTGGGATCCCACTGCCTTCACCACCATGCCAGAGAACCAGCCTCTTTGCTTTTATTTTTTTTTTCATACAAAATCTCAAACACCAGTGAGAATGTGATGAACTGTCCATGTACTCATCTAACAATACACACTTCTTCCTTTTAAAAAACCATTTAACTTGTAGATGTGTGTAGAGCTCTAAAAGGTATCTGAAATCTAAGAGTCCCACCCACCCCAACCTTTTTATATTTTTGGAGAAAGCTAGGTCCCGTAGAATTTCCCAGTCTAGATTTTACTGAATGTGATGTTGTATTAGGCATATTAGGTCCCCTGCATTTCCTGTAAATTTATAGAACTGGAACTAACTTTCAAATGGATCCCTGAACCAAGCAACATCAGCATCATTTAGGACCTTGTCAGAAATCCACCTCCTTGTTCACATTGTTGGAGCTTGGAGTTGAGGGCATTGACTGGCAGATGAATGCTCAAATGTAGGTAGTATGCTACCCAAGGGACAAGTTTTTCACCAACACCACAAAGGTCTCTGGCTTGAGTGGGGTTGGATGGTAGTCCTTGCTACGAGTTTTTAAAAAAAGGCACCTCCTCACTGCCCCCATCCCCAACAGATGTAACTAAGAACTGGGTGGAGACCAGCCATGAGTTTTAACAAGCCTTCCACATGGTCCTGGTCATTAAAAAAAATGAAGACCCACCCATTCTAGTGGTTTTATCAAATTCCCTTTTTTCTTCTCCAAGTCTACTTGAGTATCTTTTTATCCTAATGACCACTAATGATCTTTGCCTAGATTTTATTAACTCAGTTTTAAACATTTATTTTAGTCCATTGTACTTCTAATCAATCCTATCAACTTCCTTATTTTTCTGGTATAGTACAGTTTCAGGCTTATCTTACACATTCTCCAGTCCCAGATCTGAAATCAACCATTTCTCCAAGGAGCCCTGATTGTTTCTAATTGGAAATGTTATTTAGCAGTTGCAGTTTGGACTCCTGAGGTGCTTGTTGCCAGTTTGGCCATAGGCCTTTTTGGTGAACAGAACTAGGAAACCATTGTCTGATTCTTCAACTACACAGATGATGTTACCTTTATTCCAAAGGTTCTGTTTCTCAAGGATAAACACCCTCTGGGGCCTACAGGTGGTGTAGTGATTAAGGGTGCTGGACTCCCACATGGCCAACTGCAGTTCAAGTCTTGGACCTGGTGACTTGCTTTCTCTCTCTCTCTCTCTCTCTCTGGTCAAATTTAAATAAATTTAAATCATTTTTTTTCTTAAACACCCTCTCAGTCCTGTCTCAGTGTAGCAGTTTTTGTTTGTCTTTATAGAATAATTTTATTTTAATTTGCTATAGGGCACATGCCCTGACCAGAGAGAAAAAGCAAGCTGCCAGGTTCAGGACTTGAACCATTGTCTGCAATGTTGGGAGTCCAGTGCCTTAACCAGCATGCCACCTCCTGGCTCTTGTGTTAAAGTTTTGAATTCCCTACCTCAGCTGTCTCTCCTTTTACTGTCGTTTTTGAGTGTCTCTTAAAAGAAGTTCACTAATAGCACTCCAGGTTTACTCTAACCTGCTGACTGCAGTGCAGTACATGACCTTTCTTCCCTAATAGATGCTTCCTCAACTGGATTCTGGGCCGTTTCTGGCAAAGAGGCAAAGGAATTATTGGGTTGTCGGGAAAGTCATAATATATTTTTCTTAGCAAAAATGCACCATGCCTTTCCCAACGGCCTAGTAAAAGGATGCTAAGAACTCTGCACAATCTTTTGTGCATCTTCAGAAAGCTTAAAGCACATCATGGGGCCAGTAGGTAGGGTAGTAGTTGAGGTGCTGGACTTACACTTAGTCGACAGCAATTCGAGTCCCAAGACTCGCCGGCTTGAAACTCATTCCAGGCGAGTTTGTATACATGCCCCAAAATCTTGAGAATGGAGAAGGTTATTGTGGGTTGGCCATCCCCTCTGGGGGAGTGATTTCTCACTTTTCTGTCTCTGGTGAGAGTGAACACACACTATAGCAAGAATCTCTTTAAAAAAAAAAAATCATGTCATCTTGGCCTAGGTAATGCATAGATGAAAAAGGAAGATCCACAGTCTTCAGTTTCCATGTGATTGTAGAATACACACAGCACTATAAACGGGTTGAGGAAATAAGACCTTTGCTGTAAATGACATGCCTGCAAACCCAACAGGAGCTCAAGCCTTGACAGTGTGGCTATGATTAAATGATGATCAATGCTCAGTGGTATTTTCAGGAAGTCCACAAAGAGTGAAGCACCTTGAGTGTCACCTTAATCTAAACTGGCTCAACAAATACTTAGTACAGGCCTTAGATGTGTGTAGTAGATTACCTTATTTTTGAATTGTCAGAGGGTGCATGCACTTGCCAAAGAGAGTGAGGGAGAAAGCACTTCTCAGTGGGGTGTGATCACACTTCTGCATTTCTCCATTCCATGGAATTTGAGGCATGCATGCATGTGCACTGGGTGTGTGTTTTTAAGTTGCCAGGGCTAAGATGTGAACTACTGTCAGCCATGTGGAATCCAGCTTTTTTTTCTTTTTGGAGAGGTTTTCGCTATAGGACGCGTGTGCTCACCAGACAGACAGAGACATAGAGACAGAAAGCGAGAAATCACCCCCCAGAGGGGATGGTCACGCCGCAATCCCTTCTCCATTCTCCTCTCGGGATCTTGGGCTCGCACGCACATTTTAAGCCACCAGGTCCGGGACACGAACTGCACGCAGTCAACTACGTGGGAGTCCAGCAACATAGCCATTACGCTTACTGCTGGCTCCCAAATCCAGCTTTCTTAACCACTTTGCTACAGTGCCAGCCTGGATGTGTAGTAAATTAGATCATTGTTAGAAATAATCATTTCCCTATCTGACCATGAGGAAAGCATGTCTGTTGGACAATATGCCTGCAAGTATTTCATATTTGGTCAACTGATAGCTTCCTTTCCCCTTCTCCCTGCATCCCAGTATCCATGTTCTAATCCCCAGAAACTTGGGACCAGCAGATGGCATAATGGTTATGTCTCTGTACTCCCACTTCATATACTGTGGTTTGAGCCCCAGACCCAGTGGCTTAAAACTCACATCAGGTATGTGTGCATGTGTGCCCGAGATCCTGAGAAGAATGGAGAAGGGATTGCGGCATGGCCATCCTCTGTCTTCCCAGTGAGCACATGTACTTTATAGTAAAAATTCTAAGAAAAAAAAAAAAAAAAAAAAAAAAAAAAACTGGGGACCAGCAGTTAGCATAATGGCTATGTCGCTGAACTCCCTGTAGTTGACTGTGGTTTGAGTTCCGGACCCGGTGGCTTAAACTCAGGCTGGGCGCGTGTGCATGCAGCGTGCCCAGGATCCCGAGAGGAGAATGGAGGAGAAGGGATTACAGAGTGGTCATCTCCTCTGGGGGGTGATATCTTGCTTTCTATCTCTGTCTTTCTGGTGAGCACACACGCCCTATAGCAAAAACCTCTTCAAAACAATCTGAATCTATATAGCCTTACATGGGGATTTTGCAGTAAAATTAGATCTAGAGATTATCCTAGATAACCTGGCTAGGCCTAGTGTAATCATGAGGGTCATTACAAACGGAGGCTGGAGGGTCAAGAATCATAACATTGATGTGGACATAAAGGTGGGCACTAGAGATGCTACACTACTGGCTTTGAAGATGAAGAGGCCATGAGAAAGGGGAGTCTAGAGGGAGTACAACCCTGGCAACATCTTTTTTGGAGAGGCTTTTGCTATAGGGCACGTACACTCTCCAGAAAGAGAGAGACAGAGAGATAGAAAGTGAGAAATCACCCCCGGGGGTGGGTGATGGCCATGAGGCAATCCCTTCTCCATTCTCCTCTCTGGATTTTAGGCATGCATGCACACGCACCCAGCATGAGTTTAAAACACCAGGTCCTCGACTTGAAATATGGTTGGCTACATGGGAGTTCAGCAACAGCCATTATGCTAACTGCTGGTCCTGCAACATCTTGATGTAATCTAGCCATGCCTATTTTGGGCTTCAGTCTCCAGAACCATAAATAATAAATGTGTGTTTTAAGCCACCAAATTTGTGGTAATTTGTTACAGCAGCTATAGGAAACTAATACAGTATGATTAAAAGCTTAAGAAATACAACTTGGCTTATTTTTTTAAGTCACCCTTTCTCAGTGACCTTTATCTCTACTTGACAAAATCATTTCTTGGGGAGAAAGTTTGCAATTATTATTGGGAAATAAAACTCGCTTTCTCATGCTTCTAGGACAGGATATACAATCACATACCTAGCTCTTTGGTTTGTGTGCAATAGGAATAATAAAAATTATTCATTCTGGGGGCCAGCAGGTAGCATGGTGGTTAAGGGTGTTGAACTCATTCATGACCAACTGCAGTTAAAGCCCCAGACCTGGTGGCTTGCTTTCTCACAATTATTAATTCTGCAAATACTTGGCTCTGCACACTGGGTACTGTTGTAAGCCCTGGGAATAGTGATTAACCATGACCAAAAATATCTCTGTCCCCTAGGAGTTATTACTCCAATGGTGGAAGACAGGCCACAAATAATAGTGAAGTTGAATTTCAGAGAGTGGCCTGAAGAAAAAGTTGTAAGAGAAGCAGCTATAAGAGAATCCATGGAAGAGCTTTCTGGATATGAAGAACAGCACATTCAAGGGCCAGAAACAGCAAATTTATCTTTCTTATATTTGGAGTTTTTTTTTTTTCTTTTTTAAAAAATTAATTTTGGGACCAGCCTATGGTGTAATGGTTACATCGTCGTCCACTGCAGTTCGAATCCTGGACCCAGCAGCTTAAACTCATGCCAGGCATGTGAGCATGCATGCCCAGAAATCCCAAAAAAAGAATAGAGGAGAAGGAATGCTGTGTGGCCATACCCCTGGGGGGTGATTTCTCTCATTCTGTCTCTGGCAAGCACATACACCCTATAGCAAAAAACTCTCCTATAAACTAATAAATTTTATTTATCACTAGTCTTCAATTTGACCAGAGCAAGAGTGAGAGAGCAAGCCACCAGGTCCAGGACTTGAACCGCAGTCAGCATGTGTGCTCAGCAGAAAGAGAGAGGAGTACCTCCTAATGGTTTGTGGTCATGTTATAATTGTTTTTTCTTCATCTCTTAAGGATTTGGGGTATTCACATATGGATACACCTGGCATGTTTTTCAAGTTGCCTGGGCCAGGATTCCAACCATGTTTGGCCATGTGGAATCTGGCTCCCAGTCATAGACTGTAATCACTGCACTAGAAGTTGGCCCAGACTGGGGAACCAGCAGTTAGCGTAATGGCTGTGTCACTGGACTCCCACGTAGTTGACCGCAGTTCACGTCCTGGACCCGGTGGCTTAAAACTCACGCCCGGTGTGTGTGCGTGCATGCCCAAGATCCCGAGAGGAGAATGGAGGAGAAGGGATTGCGGTGTGACCATCCCCCCTGGGGGGTGATTTCTTGCTTTCTGTCTCTATGTCTCTCTGGCGAGCGCACGTGCCCTATAGTGAAAAAAACCTCTCCAAAAAAAATAAAGAAGTTGACCCAGACTTACCTTATTAG